ATGAGTTCAAGGCCCTGTGGAATCATCATGGCATCAGAATGAGTGACATTGAACCAAGTGAGGCTGTTCCAGCTGCTAAAAAAAATTCTTTGGCATTGGCTGAGCAAGGGAAGGTTTATTGTTTGACCAATTTTCACCAGGGTTGAAGCCAGGCTATTCTGGGGAAGGACGCCTGGTGGAACATATTTTAGCAGGGACTCCCTGAGTAGGCCTGCTTTAAAGCTTGGTGGGAAGCACCTGCTGTCATCAGTGTAAGTACATGTCAAAACCGAAAGCCTACATCTCCTGTTCCTCTCCTCAAGGAACATGGGTTGTTCTTAATATGTGCATAAGAAAAGCATCTATATTTGGATTTAGATAGAATTCTGTGATAGGCAACTTTCAAAGATGGCCCCCAGTGAATCCCCACCTTCTGGTGTTCACATCCTTGTGTAATCTCCCCTTGAGTGTGGGCTGGACCTAGTGATTTGCTGGTAGTAAAGAGATTCTCTGAAAAGTGATGGGATGTCACTTTCACGATCAGGTTACAGAAGACTGGCTTTCATCTGGTTCGTCTCTTTTGCTTTCTCAGCTTGCACATTTTGAAGCAAGCTGCTGTATAGGAGAGGCCCATATGGCAAGAGCCTGAGGGTGGCTTCTCGCCAATAGCCGGCAAGGAGCCAAAGCCTTCCCTCAGTCCAGCAGCTGCAAGGAACTTAGTTCTGCTAACCACCACACTGTCAACACTGAAGGGATAACCTTCCACAGTCAAGCCTTCACATGAGACCACAGCCTTGACCAACTGTAATTTGCAGGTCTAATTCCAACTAAGGACTCCGCTAAGCATTCGACTCTTGATCTCAGCCCAGGTTTTGATCTCAAGGTCATGAGTTCAAGCCCTGTATTGGGCTCCACACCTAGCGTGGAGCCTACTTTAAAAAAAAGAAAAAGTTTCTAGCAGCACTATTCACAATAGTCAAAATGTGGAAACAACTTAGATGTCCATTATTGGATGACTGGATATTATTCAGCCATAAAAATGAATGATGTACTGACACCAGCTACAGCATGGAGGAACCTCAAAAACATGCTTCGTGAAAGAAGTCATACTGAAAAGGTGATGGATGGTTCCCTCTACGTGAAATAGCCCGACCACATAAATCCAGAGACAGCATATTAGTGGCTGTCAAGGGATGGGAGGAGGAATGGGGTTATTGAGAATGGGGATACAGTTTCCTTTTAGGGTGAGGAAAATGTCTTGGAACCAGTTATAGGTGATGGCTGCCCAACATTGCGAGTATCCCAGATGCCACTGCACTGTCCATCTTAATTGAGCCACCCAGGCAGGCACTTTTTTTTTTTTTTTTTTTTTTTTTTTTTTTTGAGAGAGGGAGTACATTGTCCACTTTAAAATGGCTAATGAGGGGCGCCTGGGTGGCGCAGTCGGTTGGGCGTCCGACTTCAGCCGGGTCGCGATCTCGCGGTCCGTGAGTTCGAGCCCCGCGTCAGGCTCTGGGCTGATGGCTCGGAGCCTGGAGCCTGTTTCCGATTCTGTGTCTCCCTCTCTCTCTGCCCCTCCCCTGTTCATGCTCTGTCTCTCTCTGTCCCAAAAAAATAAATAAACGTTAAAAAAAAAAATTTAAAAAAATAAAATGGCTAATGGAGGAGCACCTGGCTGGCTTAGTGGAGCATGCAACTCTTGATTTCATGGATCTAAGTTCCATCCTCACATTGGGTGTAGAGATTACTTTAAAATATTTTAGTGGTGCCTGGGTGGCTCAGTTAATCATCTGACTCTTGGTTTCGGTTCAGGTCATGATCTGGTTCATGAATTTGAGCCTCTTGTTGGGCTCTATGGTGACAGTGCTGGAGCCTGCTTGGGATTCTCTCTCTCCCATGATCTCTGCCCCTGCCTTGATCATGCACGCACACACACTCTCAAAATAGTCTTTTTTAAAAAATAAAATCTCTTAGGGGTGCCTGGGTGGCTCAGTGGGTTGAATGTCCGACTCTTGATTTCCACTTAGGTCATGATCCCAGGGTCATGGGATTGAGCTCCACGTGGGGCTCAGCACAGAGCGTGGAGCCTGCTTAGGATTCTCTCTCCCCCGTTCATGCGTGTGCTCTATAAAAATAAAATCGTTTGGGGTGCCTGGGTGGCTCAGTCGGTCAAGCATCCCACTTCGGCTTAGGTCTTGATCTCATGGTTTGTGGGTTCAAGCCCCACATCAGGCTCTGCTGACAGCTGAGCCTGGAGCCCATTTCAGATTCCGTGTCTCCCTCTCTCTGCCCCTCCCCTGCTCATGCTCTTTCTCCTTCAAAAAATAAACATTAAAAAAAATTTTAATGAAATAAAAGTAAAATCTTAAACAAATTTTTAAATGGTGAATGGCTCATTTTGTTGTGACTTTTACCTCTAAAAAAGAAAAACGTTGAGCTCAAACCACTTTTTCAATAGAGCCAAATGTTTATCTCATTCAACTGACACCCACGCCCATGAGTGGATTGTCCCCTACCAAACCATATTGTCCCCCAAACTGAATTCTAATTTATCTATATAAAGTATACCTGCACCTGATAGTTTTGAGAGGAGGTATGTAGACTAAGTCTGCTTGTGGAAAACCAATCTCATTGGCCTCAGTGTCCTTGTAGAAGGTAAAGGAAGTGGCCCCATACTTTCTCAATGATCCAGGAGCCACCACTATCAAGTGTAAAGCCACACCATGGGTTTTTCCCATGCCCGTGTGTTTACTAAGTGCTCCAAGGAGGCTACTACCAAACAATTGCTAAAAGGCTCTTCTGTTTTTTAGTTCCTGAACTTTCCTGTGCCTGTCTAATCACTACTGGCCACACTTGTGTGAGCAAGGCCCACTTTCAGCCAGGTTGTCAGGCAGTAGAAATGGCTTTTTTATGGTCCAAAATTTAATTGGAGGGGACTTAGTAACACTAATGACTATGCACCCTCTTAGAAATCTCTACACCTAAGGTGGGGCTCGAACTTAGCACCCAGGGTTTGAGCCATGTGCTCTTCCAACAGCCAGCCAGCCTCCCCTGATGTACTCCTGAATGAGCACTTTGCTCTTTACACTGTATTGTTTACCCATTAGCAACTGTATTAAATAATTTCATAAAAACTCAGTGAAACCACACAAGCCCACAATAGGGGTGACGTGAAGTTGAAATCAGGCTGTTTCTAAGATCTTTCTGTCTGGGAATAGCAGGGTTGACCAAATTCTCCAAACCCTTTTTAATAAAGGTACTCTCGGTCAAGTTTATGGCCAGTGGTGTCCCACAGATCCATGCATAATTTGGGTACCTTCATGTTTGGTAGGTGACCCTAAAAGTTACTTAACCTCCCCCTGCAGTTTCTCCTCTGCACGTGGGAAATAACTGAGAGGAGGAAGCCTGCAGTTTATTCCTGTCCTCTTGGGGCAGAAGGGCATCCCTCTCTGCAATCCAAGTAGTTACTCCCATCTCGGGGAACCAGGGCCTGGTTTAAGTGTAATTGAGGAATAAAACGATTCATGTCACTTCACGACTGGGTGGGCGTGGAAGGACCACAATGAAATTTAGATAGGTTTAATGACAGGCCGTGGAGTGCATTTTACAAGAGAAGCAGAACAGAACAGTTTCATCGTTCTGTCATCCTTTTTCAGACTACTGATGTGCAATGCCACCAACCTTTTTGCCTCGAGAGAAGACACTTCAAAGGGCACACACAAACTAAGGCACATCTGTGTAGTGGTGATGACAGACACAATTCAGACACCATTTTCTTGCTTACTGAGCAATTTATTTGTTTCTAGTTCTTATATTGACCTTTCATAAATATTCATCTCGTCTCCAATAAAGCTCCTTGAGAGCAGGGCCCATATCTTAACTTTTATCAGGGATTAGCACCTTGTGCACAACAGGTGCTCCTCAAGTCTTTTACCATCTAGTAAATTCCCCGCCCCCGCCCCGCCGATGCTTCCCCGAGTGAGACAGTTCAAAGCTTTGCAGGGAAACAGGCCCAGCAGTATCATTTCAAAAGGGAAGCATCTTTCAATTCTCTTGATTATATCAAAGTATAACTCGCTTGCTACCCTTTTACACAGGCTAACTTTCCCAGATCCCTAAACCTCCAAAGGGGTAGTATTTGAAATGTGTGTATTTCACTGTATTCATTTCTTACAGATAGCATCTATCTATGGCAATTTATATTTGTTTTCCATTCATGGGAGTGACACCAAGTTTTCTTTCTAAATATATTGAAGTAGAAGCAACTCACTTTAAAGGAAGAAAAAAAAAAACCCAACCCTGAAGTAACAAAGGTGGAACACAAATGAGGTAAAAACAAAACAAAAACTATAAAGGTGATACACCAAAGACTAAAGATTGGGAAAATAATGCCCTAGGCAAAATGTCCTCATTCTTGAGGGGCAAGCGGGAGGGCGTCCAAGGGTGCCGGTCTGTCAGATTCATGAGGCCTTTGAGAAGAGGTCACTGACGTGACAGAACCAACATCAAGTTAACAAGATTCTGCTACATCTTGTGAGGATCACACACCACACACGGTGTGCTCCCGAAGCAGGTCAAAAACTGAAGCCAAAGCAAATTCTTGAAACTTAAAAAAAAAACAAAAAACCCTTTATAAAACAAGATATACCCTAGTATTAAGCTGCTCTCAGAAAAAAAAATAATAATAAAAAGGGCAGCCAGTTGCTGTATTTAACAAGCAAAATATCATCAAAATCTAATTACCCAACTTTTATTACTCCAACTGCAGTGTAGAGAGATTTCACAGCCACTTGGGGGAATGTACAACTTCTGCAGCCTTTAAACCAAGGCGGAAAGCCAGACAACTCTGCAACACAAGCCCGTGAGGTACACTTTTTGGAAGGAAATGGCTGGGTCTCTTCACCAAAGTTTCCAGCATATTCCAGTAACACACCTAGCACTGCTTACAAACAGAGAGAGCAATGCAAAAGGAGAGAGAGCAACGCATTTCTGAAACACATCCCCTGAAACGGGGAGGAGGCTCAGTCTGTGGGAACGTCACCTTCGGGCTCTGCATCCGTCTGCTCCGTCTGCTTCTCTTTGGCTCCCGCAGCAGCCGGGGCAGGAGCAGGAGCAGGAGCAGGAGCAGGGACTACCTCGGCGCCCTCCACCTCTGCTGCCACGTCGCCTCCGGCCTCAGCGGCCTCAATGCTGGCCAGGGCGGCTTCACCCCCAGCCTCTGCTTCAGCGCTGCCCTTCTCAGATGCCGTGCCACACGGTGTCTCCGCTTCTTCCAGCTGTTCAGAGTGGGGGCCACGAGCGGCCTCCGCCGAGTCCACGGGGCCTTCCCCTTCGGCCAGCATTTCACTGCATTCCGGAGCAGGCGCTCCCGCCCCGTCTACGGCTCTCACTGCTGCTGTAATAACCTCAGCTAAGACCTCCGCAGCCACCTCTTCAGGTGTCTCTTCCTTATCCTCACCTCCTAAATTGTCATCTCCTTCGACTTCTGGATCAACGGCTTCATTGGTGAAAGGGTCTTCACCCTGGCCAAGAAGAGGAAAAGGTCAATGCGGCCTACAGAGCTGTCCAGATGAAAGGCTGAAGGTGGCCCAGGCGGCCAGGAGTCCGGGTTCTTATGATGCCCCTTCAACAACAGAAAGGCCTTCAACTACAGCAGGGGGGTTAATCCTACGGGTGCTCAGGGCCTATGGATCCAGAAAAGCTTCACCACAACTGTTTTGCCTTTTAACTTTAATTTTCTTATTTAGTTAGCTAGGGCGTATGGTATAAGCAGAATAAGGGGGTATTCTTGGTTTTAACATTAGTAATTTCAATCTCTGCAATGGGTTTTTGAAAGATACTTTTCCCCCTTCTTCAAAGGCTTTGTAAAATTTAGAGGAGAGTATTTACAAATATTTAACACAATAACTGCTCCCCCGCCCCGGTTTTGCACTTTTTAATCCAAGCATATAATTAATAGTGAAGTTCAAAAAGACCTAGGATTTCTTAACCCAATTAAAGCAAAAAAACCCTCATAACAGGAAGCTGAGTTTCAAATTTTAGTTTAAGTACACAGCCCTGGTTATATAAGAGTTGCCCCATTTTGCAGACAAGGAAATGAGTCTCAGCAACTTGTCAAAGGCCACACGACTATTAAGCATCAATCAGGATTGAACCCAAGTCAGACTCTGAGAAGCCAAACTTCTTTCAGCGTATGCTACAACTGCCTCTAGTTTAGAAAAAGTAAACGTCACCACCGGCAGATTAGGAAATAGGTTTTAAAATACGGTGTTTAGGGGATGCCTGGCTGGCTCAGTCAGTGGAGCATGCGACTTTTGGTCTCAGGGTTGTGAGTTCGAGCCCCACAGTAGGCGTAGAGATGACTTTAAAAAAAAATCTTTTAAATATACCAATACATAAAATATGGTGTTTGAAGCTTGCGTCTACACCTGACCCAAGAAACTTTAAATCTGTTTAAGCCATGACACAAAACACTGACCAGTCATGGTTATTTATTTAGATCCTATGATGCCTTGGGGCGCCTGGGTGGCTCAGTCAGTTGAACGTCCAGTTGACTATTGATTTCGGCTCAGGTCATGATCCCAGAGTTGTGGGATCGAGCCCAGCGTCAGGCTCTGTGTTGTGCATGGAGCCTACTTGAGACTCCCCCTCTCCCTCCCCGAACTTCGCACACGTGTGTTCTGTGATGCCTTTTTACCGGGTAGCACGAAGCATCCAATACTGGCAGATTCAATAAATGAGAGGTGGGCAAACAGATCCTTCTAGTCAGGCTGTGCTGGAGCCTAACTGCCAGCCCCAAACAGTGAGGTCTGGGGCTGAGCATTTAACAGGTGGGCTTCCCAAGGAGGAAACCAGGGGCTCTTCCAGCCGGACCTCTCTCTGGGGCACCCTCTCTGGGACTTTTTATTACTCTGCTCGGGTCACTAAGGCACCGTAGTCGTGGCACCACCAGCTCTTTCCTCCCCCTCCCTCTTGTTGGTTGTCTCTGCCAGCAAGTCTCTTTTTGGCTTCTTTCCTGGGTAGTTAGCATCTAACTTGCATTCTTCTTTAAGCATCTCACAATCACTTGCTCAGGATTTCATGGATATTCAAGCTTTCCCATGGTGAGCCAGCACCACTGTAGGCGCAAATCAAGCAGGACCGTGTCCCAGACCCCACGCAAGCAAGGGGGGTCGCAGGAAACCCACCGCCGTGGAATTGCCAAACCTGACACCTTCCGGCGTCCCTTGATTCTTCAAAAGACTTAGAAATGCTAAATACTGTACTCTGGGTGCAATTCTGCACTTGTAGAGTTCATCCTCCATTCCAAAAGCTTCTCCCGTACACTGGACCCCTAAGCACAAACCTTGAGGTATTTTTCCAGCATCTTCACTATGTGTCTGTTGTTCAAAACACTCTTAGCCACATGGAGACTGGTTTTCTTGAACTGTTCAGCAGCCAACTGCAAAGGGAACCAAACGTGGACTTTTAGACCTGGTGTGCAGCAAGGAGCAAGAAAACTAGCCAGGCTACCCTGAGTTGCCCTGGCATCAGCCCTAAACAAGAAAAAGACCAGTATCTTTCTTCACTGTGGCAAGTGGCAAGTCCCAAAATGCCAGACTCCCATAAGGAAAGAAGGCCCTGGAGAGACACTGGAACTGGGACAGTGTAGAAAAGTCTGATCACCACTGACACACCAGGGCCTGCCAGGTACCGTGTGCACGAACAAGCATGAAACGAGAATATTTACACATCAGATGCTATGCGGACTCAGCATGGGAAAAGGACAAGTTTTTTCTTTTCAGTTTCTTGAGTAAAGCTGACTTTATGAGTAAATTCAACGGCAGAAGTAGGGATTCTGCAACCACCTGGATTATTTTTGATCTTGGCCCACTGAAACGATACTGCTTATTTGTGTTGTGTTTCCTGGATGATCTTTAATCAACTAGGAGATGCACAGGCAGGTACTGACATCTCCGTTTGATAGGCGGGTGAACGAAGGACAGAGACAAAAACCAGGGCTCAGCAAGTGAGCTTAGGGGCCACATGCGGCCACACCACTTCTGTACTCTGGCTGCTGGTGCCCATCAGCAGCAGACTTGACATGTCAAGAGACCCCATGGAAGTATCTGCCACGTGACCCTTTATAAAAAACCTGCCAACACCCTGAGTCTACACGTTTATAGCCTCAGTCCCCACCAGCTAGTTAAGCCCCAATCCGTTCTTAACTCTGGGCCCCCCAAGCAAGCCACTGTGCTCTGAATGGCCCTCAGCCTCAGCTTATAGGAAATCTGGTTTGTCAACAACTAGGAAATTTACCTGTGTGGCTTACAGGGAACATTCTCAACCAGGAGAATTTCACCTCCTCTACTGAAGTCCGTTGTTAAGTAACACACTTTCTCACATTTTAACAGAAATTCGGACGTGTCTTACAATCCACTGACGAAATGACAGACTCAACAGGGTATGTTAAAAAGCTCCTCAAGATGCTCGCATTCCCCACAAGACACAGAAGGCCCCGTGTCCCACCGGTGGCAGCCTGGAAAGGCTCGGCTGGCTCGGCACGAGGAGGGGACTCACCCTGCGGTTGTGATTGTGGTCGACCGAGTGCAGGTGCCGCTGGAGGAGCTGATGCTGCGCGGGGATCAGCATGTCACAAGCCAGGCAGTGAGCCGCCTCTATCTTCTTGAAAAAGTGCTCCTGGCCGATCCCTATGGGTACAACCCAAGTCTGGCGCGATTTGGGACAGCATCAGGTGATACTGTCCTCCTGCTCCCCAACAGGGCCCACGTTTTGTCCTGGTGGGTTCGTCCCCAAGGATCGAGTTAGGGCAGAAATCTGTGACAGGCAACACCCGCCCTCTAGCAGGAGGGTGCAGACGGAAGCACATCTGCACTGGGCAATTTTACTCAACTTTTTTCATCCATCTGGTCATTTCATGTTTCTTCATGACATTTCATGTCCTTCTTCAAAGGACGAAGAAACATCAGGGGGCGTAGTATCACTCCGAAAAGCCACCAGTAAAGTGACCTTCATTAGACACACTCAAGGGCTTCTTTCCATTGCTAGGTGTCCCACCCGAGGGTCCCCAGGTCACATGCTCAGCAACCCTACAACGGGCTGGCTTTGCACCCAGCCGCGCGCCCCAAGACCACGACTCACCTTTGAAAGGGTCTGGTTTGGGTTTTGTGCTTTCCTTCTCCATCAGCTCCTGACGCCGCTTCTCAATTTTCTTATTCCTGTTTACGATGTACTCCTAGAGAAGATGGCACCGAATGAAATGGCAGGGCGCTGTGTCTGCCTGTCTCCCGGCCGCACCAGAGGCGGCTCACTGAGGGCGGCTGCCAAGCCCCTGGAGGAGGACAGCCCTGTCTCAGCCGCCCCGGGACGGGGAGATGGCTCTCCGAGCAGCTCGAGGGAACTACAATGGCCAGAGCGCTCGGCTCTCCCTCGGACCTGGGACTTGTACGCTGTTATTCTGGAAAGCCCAGGCCTCATACTTCCCTTCCCCGTCCCTTCTCCGTGAGGGATCCGACTCCGGCAGGCCCATCAGGAAACACTGTGATGGACACCAAGTGTGCTTTACCTGGAGGAACTGTACGGTCTTGTCAGGGAGTTTGGTACTTATAAACCTCAATGTCTCTTTGTGAAATTTGCTTTGTAGATGCTTCTGGATTTCATCTTCTTCAAAGCTACGAAACTTGCACACAGAACAGGCGAACTGAATCCTGGAGAGGGAAGACGAAAAGAGCAATGATGCAATCAGCTCACCTCCAGTCAGAACTGCAATGGAAATGGGAAAGCAATTTCTATACCAAGACTTCTGACTTCACACAGGGCATCAGAGTAGCCATTACCCCAGGTTTCCCCATGTCAAGAATGGGAGTAAAACCTTGCGAGTAGTTCAGGGAGGTGATTCATGCACCATTCCAGTCTGCTGGGCCCAAAGGCCCCTAAGAGAGCACCCTAAGGTGGAGATTTTCCAAAACTGTGGACTCTCTAAAAGCCTCCAGACCACTGCTCTGGGGGGGTATAGTAATTCCATAACTTCTTTCTGCAGCCACCAGAATAACATGAGATAACCTCATTTAAAAACATTGTTTTTACATGTTTATCTTTGAGAGAGAGCACGCAAGCAAGCTCATTGATTGGGGGAGGGGCAGAGAGAGGGAGACACAGAATCCCAAGCAGGCTCCAGTCTCTGAGCTGTCAGCACAGAACCCAACGCGGGGCTTGAACCCATGAACTGCGAGATTATGACCTAAGCCGAAGTCAGATGCCCAACCACTGAGCCACCCAGGCACCGCTGTATACTCTTTTTAATGTTTATTTTCGAGAGAATGGACATGAGCAGGGGAGGGGCAGGGAGACACAGAATCCAAAGAAGGCTCCAGGCTCTGAGCTGTCAGCACAGAGCCCGAATTGGGGCTCCAACCCACGAACCTTGAGATCATGACCTGAGCTGAAGTCGGATGCCCAATGGACTGAGCCACCCAGGCACCCCTGAGGTAACCTCCGTGAGGGGGTATTCCTGGAAGACCTTACACAATTTAAAACCTATAAAACCCAAGATAAGTTTTCCCATGGGACTCAATGTAAAGACCTGTCATATCAAATTTTACAGCTAAAACCACATTTCTTTGTTGCCTGCTTTCAAAATCTCACAAATGCAGTCACGCTGTAGGGCAAGAGGAGAGCAGCTTGCAGAGCCCTATGCCCCCAGAGTGGGGTGCTGCTTCCCTCGGCTCTGCCCAGGAGGCCCTGGCGCACATGGGGTAATAGCATGGACCCGGTGGCACTCAGGAGTCCTCATCTACCAACTCAGACTGCTGCCGGCCCCCGATGGCAGGCTTCTCCTCTCTGGACAAGATATGACATTTACTTTTGCACATACTCTCATTGGAGGAGTGCACAGAAAAAGTCCTGGGGCCCTATGTGTACGAATGCGTACAACTCTCAGGAAGCTACCAAATAAATACAGGGTTCACGCTTCCTTGTGACTATTTCTCCAAGTCTCTTTGAGGACCCTCTGTCACTAGGGTGGAGTCTAAAGATTCCTTCTGAAGAAAATGTCATCTCCGTTCTCATACAGCATGGAAATAGACCTGATTTAGCCATCGTTCGTTACTTATTCATTTACAAACAAGCATTTCAGGGACGCCTGGGTGGCTCAGTTGGTTAATTGCCCGACTCCTGATTTCGGCTCAGGTCGCAATCTCCTGGTTCATGGGTTTGAGCCCCACATCGGGCTCCGTGCTAATGGTGCAGAGCCTGTTTGGGATTCTCTCTCTCCCTCTCTCTCTGCCCCTTCCCTGCTTGCTCACTCCCAAAATAAGTAAATAAACTTAAAAAACTAAAAATAAAAACAAAAACAAAAACAAATGTTTCGATGAATTTCTGTTTAACACTTGGAAGTGCCTACTTTCCAGTTCCTGGCTTTCCTGCCTCTACAGTTAGCTCTTTTGCTAACATCTGTTTTGCACTTCTCTGCACAGGAAAAGCACCACCCTATTTGAGCCATAAAGGATTCCCCATCAGGTCATACAGAGAGCCTGTGTGTAGAGAAACAGCTGCGAGCAGTCAAGGCCTGAGCAACCAAGCGCTCACAAGGCCACCAGTGGTCTCCATTTCTAGTCAGCAGCCACCTGATCACTGAAAAGGCAGAGTGGCACATGGTGTGGTCACACCAACACCCTTCGCACTTTTGCAATTCTTTTTATACCTAGAGACTATATTTGTAAAGTAGCACCTAAACGTATACAATTGCCATGCCGAACTCCAGAGGCGGTCGGGATTTGGTCAAGACACCCAAAGCACCTTCTTAGCAGCTCTGCTAAAGTTCACCTGTCTGGGGTGACAGATATAAGCCGTGGACTGGGAAACTCCCTACGGGTCGGCAGGAGAGCAATAGCGCCCCCTGCTGGACACATGCGGGCCAGCGACTCACTGGCAAGAACGTAGTGCCATCGGCATCTCCCAAGTTTTGTCTCCTCTCGACCTCACTTGCACTTCCTGACAGACACCACAGTCAGATCAAACCAGACCGCTCCTGCGTTGTGCAGTGAAGACAGATGAGCTCAGGAGAACCTCACCAGTGCCCGGGTTCCTGCCAACCTCCCCCCGGGCCTGCCTCCTCACCTGTCTGCCGCTCGGTCTCGCATGCGGTCTCTCCTCCTTTGCTTTTCCTTTCTCTTCTTTACTTCATCATCCTCATCGTCCTTCTCTCCTGTAACAGAGAAGTCCCTTCGAGACGCCCTGAGGAGCCTGCAGAGATGCTGAGCACCAGGGCTTGATGGGGACCACGGCTCGGCCACCACCAGGCACCCCGTGCCTGCTGCCACCTCCAACACAGCAGGGTCAGGATACCCTGAGGCACCAATAGTCTGTCAAAGGCTCCCAACAGGGATAGGCCTTTGATGAGAACCCTTGGGAGTTCTCAGGGAGTCAGCTCACATGCCCCCATGGTGTGACGAGGCTGGGATGGGCCAGGGACCCGGCCTGCCCATCCCACTCACACCACAGCCACCTGCTCTCTCTCTGTCCTTCCCTATCCTGCTTTTCTGATCCAGTGCCCTGCCATCGGTCTTCTCCCAAAATCACTTAAGGAGAGAGAGAAGCGATTCTTCCCAGATAAGAGGCAGCAGCGGGAAGGCCTCAGAAAATAGAGCAAGCCGCTCTACCGCCCTCCGTCCCACCTCTAGGTGGACCATGACGACTGTCCCGTCAGCCTCCTCTGAACTAGGGCCTCAGCAGGTCTGACAGTCCTTGCTGGCCCGAACTCTATCTTCCACTCACAAAAACCGTCCATCTAGGGCTTTCCCAGGGCTACGAGGGAAGCAGTCCTAGAAACAAAAGTGGGAAGAGACCAATTGGTCCTCCGTCCGTCCCCTGGGGCCAGCGCAGAGGCTCCTCTGAGCGCTGTGCAGCCCAGCGTCCCGGCGTGAAGCGAGGCCAGGCCAGGTCACCACGGCTCAGGGCCAGGGCCAGACACTGAAAAAAGGTTGGATAAGCATCTGAACTGTAACCCCTACCCCTGATGCCAGTCACGAGACTGTCCCACGAAGATGGCGACCGGCGTGCGCTGCTCAGAAGCCTCTCAAAAGGGCGTGTGGGATTTTTGGCAAGAGGTCACTGCCTGAAACTATTACTGTTGTTTAATAGCAAAGTCATCCCGGGTAGGTAGCAGGACCTGCGCGCAATAAACATGTCACCTTTGCTTTAGCATTTACCCTGCTGCATGAGCTGCGTACTGCTGTGTGGTCCCAAGCCATAGGAGTAATCACTTCAATAAGCAAATGTGGGAGGGCCTCAGAGGGTTGGCCAAGTCTAAACACGTAGAAGGAGCATCTAAGCCAGGGGCCTGCAGATTTATGGCAGCAGAGCCACAAAGGAGCCAGCCTTGATTCTTGGGGAAAACCAGCTATGGACAGATCAATGGGAACAGGAAAAGAAACAAATGGCAAGATCAAGGCCACGGTGTCTCAGGCTGCTTCTCCACACCCCCCTGAAAGGGTTGAACCTTGCTCTGCTCTTGCCGCTTACTTGAGACTCTTCGGTCTCCCACAATGGCACTGATGAGACCTGCTGAGCAGGGAATATCTCTGGAGGACCCGGGCTTGGGTGCACGTGACAGGCCCTCCCCTTCCCCACCCCCCACCCCCCACCCCCAGCTCCCAACCCAGGAAGGTGTCTGAACTCAGTCCCACACAGCCATGTGTGCTGCTGCCGCCAGCATGCCCACCACAGAGGCTGAGAGCACAACGCTGGGCTGGCAACGCAGGGAAGTGTGAAAAGAAGCCCAGGAAAAAACCTTACAGGGACCTGCAACAGGCCAATAGGGAACAGAGCGGACAGGCTGGAGAGCACCTTTTCTTTTCTTTCTTGCGTTTCTGAGACTCTCCCTTCCCTGCCACTGCAAGCTGCTGCACATACTCAGAGATGAGGTTTGCCCCCTGTCGTGACAGCCTGTATCAAGTGAGGCAGACAGACCTGTTTCCAGCAAGTGCTGCTCTAAGCACTGGAGCAAAGCCTGGGGGTGAGCACCACGGCCAAGGCCCACCCGGTGGCCACGGCCCCTCTTCTGCCCTGAGCCGCCAAGCCCTCCATCCAGGCCCTGGGCTTGCTCAGAAGTCCAGCCTGGCCGGGAGCCGGGCAGTCACAGCAAAGCTCAGAGGGACATGGAGCGATGCCTACCTCTCTGCCTCCCGGAGTCAAAGAACTCGTCCTCCTGAAAAAGGGCACACACAAAGTTGGACAGTGAGGTGGAGTTTCCAGAACTCTCCACAACCAACCTAGCACCCTGCCACCACCTGGTCACAATGTGTCAGGACAAGTCTCAGGGCAGTGGGACAGAGGCTGCGTGTGTCCTATCACTATTCCTGGTTGCCTTCTGAGATTCTGTAACGACTAAAGTGCTGTTTTATTAAAGTCAGTGGCCCTCTTTCAGTTCTTTCTAAAGCTAAAGAATTCCCTCTGGCAAACACACCCGCACAGTTCTGCACATGGGAATGCCAACAGCCCATCCATCAGCTCTATATCAAGAAACCCTGATTTGTGGGATGCTAGTTCCAGCACTCTTTACTGAAAAGGAGCTTTACCAAATTTCCAGGCCATCTGTTTACATTTATCAAGGTAATAACAAATGCACCTAACTGAAAAGTGCAATACTGCCCATTTCTTAGCCATCAAGCTCAAGGTTAAATTACTCAGCAGCAGATACACAGAATATCTAGATCCCAGACTCGAGATCTAGGGAAGCTAGATAAAGAGCAAGTAAGATTCGCCCAGAAAAACCCGAAAATTCACTGTATTCTGCCTCCCCGACCCCCCACCCATCTGAGCACCAGAAGGACTTGGTTGAGACCTTCATATACTCAGATCTCCAGGCCCTGCCCCAGACATGGATCAGAATTTGCAGGGAGTGGGACGGGTAGGCAAAGGCTGACTCCCTAGGTGCTTGTGCATGGTCCTGGCTAAGAGTTGGCCTTAAATGCCTGTCTCTCATGATTGGTTTTGAAGGCGGAAAAACATGGAGGCAGCTGAGCACCAGCACAAAGCGGGCAGTAAGTAAGGCTTCCGTGCCAGTTTGAAAGCCTCAGCGCACACAGCCCACTGCACTTACCACGTGCGGAGCTAGGAACATCACTGAGGACACAGAAGTGTCTGTGGGGGAAGGGCTGGGAGTGTTTTCAGGAAGAGAAGCATCGTTGGTTTTTGTTTTAGAGAGAGAGAGTGAGAGAGAGCGCGCGCACAAGCGGGGGAAAGGGGCAGAGGGAGAGAGAGAATCCCAAACAGGTTCTGAGCTGTCAGCGTGTAGAGCCAGACGCAGGGCTCGATCCCACGACCCTGGGATCATGACCTGAGCAGAAATCAAGAGTCGGACACTCAACCAACTGAGCCCCAGGAAGGGAAGTACTGTTAGAAGTACAAATCTTGAGCTGCAAGTCAGACTCTTAAATCCACTCACACAGCAGTCAGGTCTACCACAGAAGCTGTTCCTGCCTCTTTGGGAGAGAGAGGGTAATAATGTAAAGAAGAAATCCCACACCAGAAACAAAGGAGGCTGACCAGTGAAGTTGGACTTACACCCCTGAATTCTTCATCTCCTGACCGGAAGTCAGCAGCTCCATCATCTACCGGACACAAAGAAGAGGGAAAATCAGCCCCTCCATAGTTAGCCCGCTCCCTCCTTTCACCCTCCCAAGCTCACCACCCAGAGCAGCCAGCACTTGTCCTGACTACAGTGGGGGCCATGGGAGTGCGGGTGATACACGCCACCCTGGAGTTCAACACACGTCCACTGTATGGACGGGCAGGAGGAGCGCCAAGCACAAAAACGGACACATCTCACACCCACCCGGGCCTGCTGGCCCCCAGGGCATACCATTTTCAGAAAAATCTCCTTCGCTGTCAGCCCGGGCCAGTTTGGTGTCAGGCTCATCGTAGATGTGCAACTGCTTCCGTTTCCTGCCCATGCTGTCTGGGCCACAGCGGTCAAACCCTCTCCGTCTGGGCTACAGACACAAGCACATCCGATGTACCGCTTACCCCGACCATTAAGAAACCCCAGAGAAACGAAGATCGGAGAAGTTGTAAGATCAGAGAACAAAGGCAGGAAAGATCTTTGATCTTGTCACAAAACAAACAAAGATGACTGTAGTTGAACCCTCCCACCACCCACAATTTTATGCTAAGAAGTTGGACACAAAAAGCCACATATTATGTGATCACGTTCCCGTGAAAGGTCTAAGAGAGGTAAATCTACAAAGACAGAAAGATTAACAGTTGTCAAGACTGGAGTAGAGAGCAGGGAGTGACTGCTAATGGCAGAGGTTGGCTTCTTTCTGGATTGATGGAAATGCTGTAAAATTAGACGGTGGTGAAGGTTGCGCAATTCTGTACGTTTTTACTAACACTCAATTGCACACTTAAAAAATGAGTGAATTTTACAGTACCCAAATTTTCCCCAAGAAAGCTGTTTGAGAAGTCGGCAGATTAGAGAACCTCCCAAGGGCTTACCCGATCCCTCATCCGGGTCTGTGACCGGCCGCATCCATAGGGCGCAGAGTTGTCATAGCCGCCGGCGCCCTGCATGCCCATTACACTGAAGTCTGGGGCCATGGACTGGGAGAAGAGGGAAGGCGGTGGCCTGCTGGGGGAGGGGCCTCCGAGGCCCCGCCCACCCACATAGTTCATCTCCGTCCAGGGAGCGGAAAGGGGCTCGGAGGAGGCTGCCGGCGGCGGCGGCAAGAAAGGGTCGCTGCGCATGAAGGTGCTGGGGGTGCTCCGGTCCTGAAAGCGGCCCTGGCCCTGGCCCTGGCCCCGGCCCCGCATGAAGCCATCAAGGGAGCCCCGCTCACGGGCTGGGTCCCGGCAGTCACTATACTGACTGTTAAAGCCCCCATTTCGGTCAGGCCCCAGGTCAAAATCATAATCGTAGCTGTAGCTGGGGCGGTACGGATGGTGCTCAGGCAGACAAGACCTGGAGTCATAGGACTCAAACGACTGGAAGCGGAAGGAGCTGCAAAGGAAGCATAACCATCACTTCACTCTGGGCCCAAGCGCAAGTCTCCCGCAAAGCTGGCTTCACGACATTCAGAACAGCACACGGCACCACCACGCAGCCCTCCTGAAAGCTCAGAAGACAAAGCACACCAACGATCCCCCTTGAACGTTGTTGAACGAGGTGCATGGAGCCCTTGGCTGTGAGAACAAGAGGGTCTACAGGTATCTGACGCAGACACAAGGAGTCTGGTGTCATTTAGCTAACAGTCATACCCTAAGCCCCACCACTCAGGAAACCAGAAAGTCCTATTACAATGCCTCTGCCCCAATAACGCCCAACTCATCTACTCCATGTTCAGGAAGGAGCTGAGGAAAACCCTCCCTGGAAGAGGGGGTGCCCACTGCCATCTGCACAAAGCTGGGGTGTGGGATCCCCAGGGAAGGGCTCAGGTCCATAATCACCTCTCCCGGTCCTGCATGCCCTCCCCACCGCCGCTGCTCCCGCCCCTGCCTCCTTCCTTGGACATCATGTCCAAACGTTGATTGATCTTGGCGATGAGAGAGTCAGAATTGTCGGTGCACGGCTCTGGACCGTAAGAAGCCATGTGCATGGCAGGGCCCCCAGCTCCCAGGCTGTCGCTGGCCTTGGTGGCCTCCCACGAGGCTGGGCCATAGCTGTAGGTCGCTCCTGTGGTGACGCTGGTGTTCTGGGCACCATAATAATTGTAGTTTTCATAACCTGCCACGGGGAGGAAGAGCCAAATCAGACCTCAGCGGCCCCAAGGTCAGTCTACAGCAGCCACGTCTGGAGAGAAGCACTCGCTGCCCACAGAGAAGGAAGACTGTCAAGGAACCAAGTGGCGCTGGCATCACCCCACGCTGTAAATATCACCCGCCAAGGGGCGGCAAGAGAAGGACAGAGGCTGAGCCTCAGCCACGAGTGGTTGGCTTTCCGCACCAGATCTGAACACTTGCTCCCCACTCAAAGCCAGAGGTGGCTGAGAGCCCGTGAATGGCAGTTGGGGCTGCTGCTCCCATAACACAGTCACGATCCCCAGCTGCCAGCAAGTTCCTGACACTGCCTGGGCCTGCCAAGCCTTCAGGAGAGCTGTGGGCACAGCCAGAATAGGATGCGGAGGGGGGGGGGGGGGGGGGGGGCATGGGGAGGGGTTAGGTCTCTGTATCCCAGCCCCTCTGGGATCGGGTGGCCGATCCGAAGCCTTCTTGCGCACTCACAGATCCCCAGAGGGCCTACCTTGCCAGCTGGCCACACCGGTTCCGTATGCACCTGAGAGAAACAAAAAGAGACAAGAGCTTTGTTTACAGAATGAAAGTGCCTGAGACACACACACCACCCCCCCCCCCCCCCCCCCCCCCCAACTGTCACCTTACTCCACCAACCGCAGGTCTAGGGCTGTGGGCAGCTGTGGCAGTGCTGTGGGAGGGGCACCCCTGGTTGGCCATTGAGGCCAGGAATGGCTGGGGCCTACTAGCTGTAAAACTCATTTCCTACAGCTCTACTCAGCTAAGCATGATCCAGACTTCTCTTGTAGGCAAGCCTGATCTCCCCCATCAGGACAATGAGAAAGGACAAGTGCAGCCTTCCCAGGAAGTGTCCAGTGTGGGCCACCAGCCAACAGGCGGACAAGGCTAGATCCTCTGGCAGAACCCTTGGAAAGTGCCAGTTCTCACCACTTGCCAGAGCTCAGGCACCGCTAACACAGTGAGTACATCGGTGGAAGATTGTGTCCCCAACTCAACTAAGCAAGGGGACATCATGTACCCAAGCGACATGGAAAAAGCTTCCTCCTGGGAAACTTGGTGATGGGAGAAAAAGTGACCCCACCACCCTCAATGGTGCTGGGGGCAAATTCCAGGGTCAGAGAACAAAGAAAGCCCTCATCCCATCCCCTGGAACAAATGCTGGCAAAAAGCAGACAACCTCGCCACCAGGGAGGACATTCTGGTCCTTTAAACATCCTGAGCATCCAGCATTATGATCTAGATTCCAGAGCAGGGCCAGCAAACAGGGCCCCAGGCCAAACCTAGCCCATTGCCTGTTTTTGTACAGCCCGCAAGCTAAGGATGGGTGTTAGCTTTGTAAATGGTTGGAGATGGGAAAGGAAAAGAAAAGAAAAAAAAAAAGAATAGTTCACGACGTGAATTTTGACATGAAATGCACCATTTATATATTTGTCAAAACTCACAGAACTGTGCAACCACAGCGACTATTAATTTAAACTGTGGACTGTAATTAACAGCAACGTATTGACATTGACTTGTTACTGATAATAAACATACTGCACTAGTGCAAGATATTAATAACAAAGGAAACTGCTGGCGTGAAAGGAGACTATCTGCTCAACCCCGTTAAGTCTACAACTACTAAAAAATAAAGTCTAAAACTACTAAAAAATAAAGTCTATTAATCATAAAAATCTCTTATCATACCCTCAGCTATTTGCTCTGAATAATAAATCCCTAAAATAAAGGCTCTTTCACCACGTATGAAAACTATACGGTATGCAAATTTCAGTATCTTTAAATATTACTGGCACACAACCACGTCTGTTTTTTTTATAAACATCTCTGGGACTTTTGCATGGCAGAGACCGTATAGCCCCAAAGCCAAAAAAGTTTACTATGCAGCCCTTTACAGAAAAGGTCTCCTCCAGATCCTTGGGCTAGCCCTAGTGTGCCTGTCACGCTCTCCAGGTTACGGTCACCGTCCCGGGCTCTGGCAGGCTAGCGCCTCAGGTGTGTGTGGGGTGGAATCCACACCTCCCCGTGAAGTCTTACCTTGGGTGTTGGTGGGTCCAGCACTCCATGCCCCATAGCCTGCGAAGAGAAGACCTGTGAGTTAGGATCCTATTTGTCACACGGAAAACGGGTGCTTCTGAGGTGCTCTAAGGCACCTAGAGTGGTCGCCTTCAAGGACAGTTCAGTGGCAGCCTCACAAGAAGGCAGCATAACCACAACACTGTCCCTCTAAAAGTCCTGAGCGGGCTGACTGCCATTACCACCCTCCACACACAGGCTTGAGGTCAAAGCAGAAAAGAGTGGGGGGGATAGACTTTGGGGCCAGCTCTGCCAGTAGCCTGTGGAGGAAGCTTGGCCTGAGCCTCCATTCACAACCCGGGATGACACAGGACAAGGTGCCAGCTAACCCAGTACTAGGATACAGTTGTGTCCACATTCCCAGTTTGGCCCACCCACCAAGCAGTCCTAAGTCCCCCATAACTGAGAACAAAGTTCAGAATTTGGAGACAACTGTGCCTCTCCAGGCCTCACTTCTCCATGACCCTCCCTCCCATGCTCCCCTGGGCCTTCATGTCCCAGGGCTTCAGCCTGGCCTAAGGCATCCGGGCTGCAGTCCTCTCTGTGGTGGCTCCCCTTGCCCCTGCAGACTCCCATGACAGCCTCTGTCTGGGCCCTCTTCATTTCCGTGTCCCTGGAGCCTCAAACGGAGCTGGGCACAGGCAGCCATCCACACCTGTCAATGACCCTCACCTTTACAAAACAGGAATATACCCTGTCTCTCTTTCCAGAACAACCCAAGCCACTAGCCAAGTGCCTAGTGTGTGCCCACACATGACAGGCAATGGGCACATGTTGGTTGGTGTCCCCGAATGCCATTTAGAGATAACAGAGCTAAGCCTTGGAGATTCAGAGACACATTGCTGAAGTTTGCCCTTTGCAGGCTACGGTCTCCCTTGCCACACAGCCTTTTCTACACCTGTGCGGTAGAAAAACAGAGTAGCGATCCTAACGGCAAGTGACCGACTACAGAACACTAGTCTAAATACCATATACTAATCACATAACCTCATAACACCCCTTCAGATAGATAATATTTACCCTATTGTCCCAGAGGCTCGAGAGGCTGGCACTTGCCCATGATCATGGAGCTGGAGAATGGAAGAACTGAGACATGAACTCACATGTAGGTGCCTCCTATGGTCAGGAACCAACTGTCAAGGCTCAGCGAGTCCTGAGAAATAACTCGAGGTGGAAAAGCCACAGAAGGACTCAAGGAGGCCCCAGCATCTAACCGGAACCTGAAGGGTTCTGGCAGGTAGGAAGTCAGGAGCATAAAACCTCTTCGTGCTCAGGACGTGCATAGGGCAGGGTTACTGGCTGAAAAGATCTGGTGGGAAGCAGACAAGGATTTGCGAGACCCAGGTAGACTGCAGGAAAGACGGGGAAAGCCAGGGTGAGCCACCCCAGAACACTGGAGACACCCAAGCACACCAGGCACCTCAACAGCTCTCTTGCAATTCCTGCCGCTGGATCCTAACACTGCCACCTTTCAAGATCAGTGCCTTTCTTTAGCTGTTGTAACGAAGATCAGACTGCTTGCTTCCCCAACCTCGGATAGATACTTGGATAGGGACGGCACCTGGTTAAGCCCCCCACCCCACGTATTCCGACATCAACTGTTCTCCACGGACAAACTTGGCTTCCAGCGTACAGCAAAAACATCCTAGAAATCTCAGATTCTGGACACTGAGAGCCAGTCGCTCGAGAAAATCCGTCCTGCCGCAGACCCTGAGGCCCAAGTGGGGAAAAGGCACGTCCCCTCTTACACAGCCCCCAGACACCGCCAGGCCACAACGAGGGGCTGCCTGAAGGAAGGCCAAGAATCTGCCACCACCCCAGGGCACATCAGGTTTGCAATTCTGCACGAGACCCAACACCTGACCCTCGAAGTCCTGTCCTAGGCCAGCACGAGTCACGTACGCGGCAAGCGCCCGCCGACACTAGCCCCTGCGGAGACCGCGCACTGGTGGGGCAAGGTCCGACCAGCGCCGCCCGGACGGCTTCCGGGACCGGCGCGACGGAGCACGTGCACAGCGTGCAGCCCCGGCCAAGCCTCACATCCCCGAGATAGGCAGCCGAACTCCCTCGGCCTCCAACCGCGGGCCCGGCGCCCCACAAGCTCGTGCCGTGGCTCCGCCCCCGGGCGCCGCCATTTTGTGGTCTTCCGAAGCGGGAAGGCGGACCTCCGAGCGGCGGGGTCGACCGGGCCAGTCCCGCCGGGTCTGAGGGGTAGAAACGGCTAGGACAGCCCAAGGCGCCCCCCGAAGCCCGCCGCAGCGTCGGCCCGCCGAACCCCGCCCGCCTCCTCAGGCCTCGTCGGCCAATCCCCACGCAGCGCCCTGGGAGCGACGACTCCGAGGTCCAATGAGCAGCGCGCGCGCGCCCCGGCCTCCTCTCCGCTGGGTCGGGCTGGAGTAACCGTGCTCGGGCGTAGGCCCTGTCTCCACGGCCCTCTACGCAGCGGCGGCTGCGTCGCCCGAGCAACGCCTGGCCACCCCACCTCGAAATGAGCCGCCCAAACGAACCTCCGTAGCCCTGCTCCATGTCTTCAGCTCGGCCCGCCAGCAGCCCCTTTTTCTAGGGTGCCACAGGACGCATGCGCTCAACACACTTTCCGGCGTCCGCTACTGGAAGACCAGGCGCATACGTCACTCCTTCCGCACACCACCACTGGCTGGCTTTCGCGGCGCACCCGCCCGTCGCCCCAGTCGGCCTTCCGGTTGCTTGGAATCGGCTTTCACGGCATCTTGGGAGTTTTGGTCCGGACACGGAGTCTTACTCTGCGCAGGCGCATCCCTCTAGCTCCCCGCCGCCAGTGCGCAGTCGCACCCCCACCCTTTCCCGGGTCCCACGCGCAGGCGCAGTCCGCTTCCCACTACGCCGACCTTGCCGCACACCAACAAACGAACAAGAAAAGTGGGGTAGAAAGAACTTTATTGGGCTCGGCTTCCAGCCTTGGCCACGCGGGTCCCGCCCGCCGCGGGCCCAGGTCACGGTGCGCCCCCACCACCCTCCTCGTCGTCGTCGGCCTCCACGTCGAGGCCCGGGATACCGCGGATCTGGCGCTGAAGCGCGCCGCCCAGCAGGGGCAAGGCCTCCTCCTCCTCCTCCTCTTCCTCCTCCTCGGGGGGCGGCGGCGGTGGTGGGGACGTGGCCCCAGGGGCGGGCTCCGGGGGCACTGGGGGTTGCGCCGGCGCGCCCTCGGCACCCTCCGCGCCCCCTGCCGCTTCTACTAGCGTCCCCTCGTCCAGGGCACCGCCCTCGGCCTCCTCCTGTTCCTTCTCTTCTTCGGGGCTATCCGTGAATGGGTTCTCACCCTGTGGGGAAGGGACACAGATACTGAAGGGAGGACCCGCGGGGTCCGGGGGAGGGGGGGACCCCGGGGCGGCGCGCCTCACCTTCAGGTAGCGCTCCAGCTTCTTGCTGATGATTTTGTTGTTGAGGATGCTGCGGGCCACCATGAGCGAGGACTTCTTGGACTGCTCCATCATGAGCTGCAAGCAAGGCAGGCAGGGCTGGAGAGGCTGCTCTCGGCGCCAGAAAGCCGCCCTCCCCCACCTCTCCAGATCTGCGGAGCCCTTCCAAACCCCTCTACCCTTAGCTTAGCACAGCTGAGGATTCTAACCACGTGGCATAGGTGGACAAGTGTAGCTTGGGTACAAGCACGGAGCCCAGACCTAATCTTTGTTCAGATGCTCCATTTCTTCTACACCATACTTACTGTATTGATTAAAAACAAGTCTTTACAGCTGTACAGCAGAAATCTAATGTGCTTAACATAAAAACTACAAACAGTGAACAAATTAAGAAACCTACTAAATGCTGAAGGTGCAACCCCCAACAAGAAGCCAACCGCCCATATGCAAGGGACTCGTTAGGATCAACAGGGAGAATATAAAAGTAGGAACACAAATGTCAAACAGCACATTTAAGGGATATACCTCCTTTTAACCCACAGAATCCCCAAGATGAAGAATTATACCCCAAATGTCAAGGTTCAGTGGAGAGAGACAGTTCTACCCCTGATGGTGAGAGGGCCAACTGTTTACTTCCTTTCTGGAAAGCAGTTTAAATGAAATGTATTAAAAATAAAAATGTCTCAGTAATTCATTACAGGAATCTATACTAGGACTTGGAAACATTCATGCTCGTGGCTGCAGTAGTCAAAAACTGGAAAGCACCTAAATGGTCTTTTGTTAAATAAATCATACATTCAAAAAGATCACCGTGCAGTCCACAAATAGGGCTCATCTCTCCCCCTGTGTGATAAGAAAGGTGTGTGATGGGCGGAGTACAGGCAACTCTCACTTTCATCATTATAAAGATTATGCAGAAAGCTGTAAGCCGAAAGACAAGGATAAAAGCTATTTTTGTTGGCATGGGAAGGAGGGGCCCACCTCCAAAACCCTACTGCGGCCCCCCAGCCAACTCTATAAGTCATCATCTCCCTTGCTGTTTCTACTCCCTTTCCCAACCTTCACTTCTTTACTCATTTTCTCTACTGCTTGGGGAAAATACCAACAGACCTCAAGGTCTGTTGCTCAAAATGAAACAAATTAAAGATGCACAATTAGGATACTAGGTCAGCCCACTTCCTCCCCAATTCCTCACCTGCCAACACATTATCCTCCTCCCTGGAGGCACCAGAGAGGTACACACAATTCCCAGCTGAAGCCCATTTACATTGTTTCCAGATTTTTGCTACAATAACCAAACACCACCAAAATAACCTTAAATACTTCCATGTTGGTGCTTTTAATTTTACCAAACAGGTTCCCCAAAGTGACGGTGCCCCAGTACTCTGCAAAAAAAGCTGTAAGTTGTAGTAGGTGGAGCTTCCTCCACCTGTATTAAAACAATGTACTTATCCTTTGGCCTCCTCAGCGCATCAGATGTTATCACTGTTGGATACTTTTGTGGTCCAATGAAAGAGAAAAGAATGTGTGCTGCCTCTCAGGGCATTGCCCTGCCCAACAGCAAAATCTGAGTGATCTGATACACATGCTGGGCCACCTGCCCAGCGTTTCTATGAGGTCATCTTCTCCACAACCTCTGGGTTTCCTGGCTTGCTCTCAGGAAGGCTTTCTGTTACCTCAAGGTAAACAAACGATCTTCTAAATTTTGCTCTTATCTTTTATTTTTCACGTGTATTATTTCTGGAATTGAATATATGGTATGAGGTTAGGGGTCCAATTTTCTTCTCCAGAAATTTATGAGATAAACCATTGTCTCTCTGTTGAATGGACATATAAGTCTATAATCCCTTCTCCACAAATCTGAAACCCAGAAGGAAAAGTTTTCCCCTAAAACTCCATTATATTTTTATACCGTCTTTATTTATCCCACTTAATAGAAGTCACTTGAAGAATTACTTATGGTTCAACTACAAGTCACTTTCCCAGATCCTGCTAGGGATGTTAGCGATCATTACTGTGTAGATGTTCTGAAACCAAAAAAAAAAACAAAAAAAAAAAAAACAAAACCTGGTTTGAAAACATCTGGCCCCAGGATTTCAGATAAGGAACCTGTACTGACTTTAACAGTTACTAAGTTCCAAAACATACTGGGATCTTTCATTAGACTCTCTAATCTGGTTCCACCATTTTATTACTATGCCAATATCACTTTTTGTTTTTAATTGCAGTAGCTTCATAAAAGGTTATTACCTGAAGAACCAAGTCCCTGAACTCAACTACTGCCCTTTGTATAATTTTCTTGACTGTTAGACTTAATTCTACAACATAAAACTTTCAAACAATTTCATTCTGTCTCCCTCCCCAGAGTATGAATGGAATCCCATTAACTGTCCACATTAATATGTGGGGAGATGTAGTTTTGTTTTGTTCTGCTATTAAATCTCCGAAGAAGAACACTGTATATTCCTCTATTCACTGAAGTCTTATTTCATATCCTCGAGTTTAAGATCCCATACCTTTCTTCTTAAATCTATATTCCTATTTTGTGGATTTTGTCATTGCTATGAGTAGATTTTTCCCCATTTACATTTCTAACTGGGTATTACTACAATGGACAAAAGCTATTACTTTCTGTATGTTATCTTAAATTCCCCTTCTTTGTCAAATTCTATTAATTCTAAGGCCATTTTGCTGTAATCATTCAGCCTTGCTAAGAATATAGTCAGATTATTTGCATATAAAGTTTTCATTTCCAGTATTTCACACTCACTGATAGTTGCTAATTTCTTTTTTTTTTAATGTGTGTCTTTTTTTTTAACATTTATTTTTGAGAGACAGAGTAAGACAGAGCATGAGTGGAGAAGGGGCAGAGAGAGAGGGGACACAGAATTCAAACAGGCTCCAGGCTCTGAGCTGTCAGCACAGAGCACGACATGGAGCTTGAACTCACGGAGTGCGAGATCATGACCTGAGCTGAAGTCGGACACCTAACCAACTGAGCCACCCAGGCGCCCCTGGGTGCTAATTTCTTATCAAGCCATCCTTATATTCCAGAAACAAATTATACTTCTATAGTGTATTACATGCTTGAATTGAATTGAATACACTGGATTGGTAATTAGTAATTTATACTTAGCACTTTCATTCTTTTTTATTTATTTTTACTATTTTATCTTTAAGTACTCTCTGCACCCAACGTGGGGCTTGAACTCACAACCCCAAGATCAAGAGTTGCATACTCTATTTGACCAAGCCAGACAGGTACCCCTACTTAGCACTTTCATTCTTTAATACTAAACTGATCTACAGTTTCATTTTGACATTATCCTTATCAGAGTTTTGGAATTAAGGTTAAAAAGTCTTCCTAAAAATGCAATGGGGGATGGACTTTCAGCATGGAAACCTGACAAGCTATGTGGACCTGCTCCCCGGTGAAACTGATGAAGACTATAAAACACCACAACCCTTTCAAGTCAAGGGAAATGGTCCTAAGGACATACAGTGAATGAAGAAACACTAAGGAAAAGCTACTAAAACTCAGTAAAGATTGTGAGTTGTGGTGGTTTAAACATGACCTGTTGCTTTCTTGCCTTTCCCAGTTCAGAGTGATGGGAAAACCCACTCCAGATGCTGCAGCCCAACAACACAGGCCTCGGACTCTACCCAGCTCATCACAGTTGGAAGTCCACATCTTCTCAGGAGGCACGGAAAGTCATCAATTCTCATTCTGAGCTACCTGCTGTGGAAGCTAAGTTCTAGACAAGTTCATCTGAGAGATGGTGGCACCCTTCTTCTCTCCAGCCCCCCATTCATGGAATGGAGGCTTGACCTAGGGCACAGTATGCTGAGAATAGTAGGTTTCACACTGCCCTAGCTCTGGCTTATTTATAAAGCAGAGGTCCTGTGCCTTGGAGAGGCAAACCAAACCAAGACCAGAGGCTACAGCTGTCACCTTCTCTCCCCAGTCTCTCCTAAAGCAGCAGGCACTGAGAAAGCAACACTGCATAATCCCCACACCCAGCTCCATAGTCTAGGTGCAGGTTTTACCCAGGGGTAGGCCTTAAAACAAGGAGCTCCCAAATCTCTTCCCAAAGGAACTTACTTTATTCACAAGACTGTGAAGAAGTT